TTATTTACAGCATTTCTTAATTCATTGTGACTATTTCTTCATTCTTTGATCTCTGTAGCAATAGATTCTCTGCTGACTTCTGTGCTTTTTCAAGCCCAGCTATTAATCTTATGACTGTTATTCTAAATTTTTGATCAGATATATTGTTTATATCTATTTTGAGCAATTCTCTCCCATTTCTCCAGTATTCTGGAGCATTTCTTCAGAAATTCTCCAGCATTTCTTCCTGGAATTTCTTTTGATAATTCTTCCATTTTGTCATTTTGTTAGTTTTCTTTTATGTGTTTTAATAGCTTGTTATGTGTCCTGGACCTGTGAGCACTCCTGTATTAAAAAAGGATAATACACTGTTGAGGGCCTGGCCCCTCAGGAGGTGTGTTTGGAGAGTGTTGCATGCTCTCTGTTGTTATGACTCTGGTTGCTTTATCTCCCTACTCATAGTGGTGGTTTGGACCTTCCACCAGGTGTGCTTTGATTTGTTGAAGTAACCCTCTCCTACAGGATGGTTCCAATTTGACACTTTCTACATTTATAGTTTTAACTCAGGGCTATTTAAACTTGTCCTTTGTCATAGTTTGAAGAGGATGCCACTAAGAATATCACATTAATCCATTGTACTGATATTTATCAGACCATATGAATAAGAAGTTACTAACACATTAGAAACTTGGGTAAGGCACATCCTCCAGGGGGTGAGAGATGTACCCTAAGAAAGTTCAGGGGCCTGTCACATCAATAACATTTTACAATTCCGGTGGTTAGGAGCATGCCAGGACATCCCATTCAATGTAAAGGACAAGTTACCACATCCTGAACTTCCCAAACATGAAGGAAACCTAATACTTGGTAAGCCTCTTCAGATTCTGGAGGCAGAATGTTCCAAATGGGAGCAATGCTTCCATCCAAGGGCATGAAAGGCTGCCAGTTGTGAGCAGACAATAGCTCAGCACTCATGTAACCAGGCAGGTTCAAAGGTTTGAGAGATATCATTGGTATCTGGGTGACTGGTTTATGGAAAGCCCCAAGAGGGAGATGACAACTTTCCCTAGAAGGTTGAGTAAGGTCATGCCATCTTCAGTGAAGATTTATGTATTTTTGGAAAAATTAGAAGTTTGTTGTATGAGATGATGACATGGGATGAAGCACCTGTGGACCAAACCATCATGTAGTCAGAACTGCCAATCATGAGCTGAGGTCCTGCCAGAACTATCAGTCATAAAATTGTACCAATAATCTATTGTAAAATGGAATTGGTATATCCAGGATTGAGCTAGAGCAAGACCAGAAAGCTCAAGGAATGAGCAGGCAGCCCAGATCCCCATGTCATACATAGCTACTGCATCAGTACCTCTCCTTCAGCTCACACCGACAGGTGTTATGGGCCATCCCTTTGGACCAGATGAAACATGAGAAAAACCCAAAGTTGGTTCATGTATTAGTTGCTTCTGTGGGTGGAAGTTTAAAATAGATGGTAGTTGCACTACAGCTCCACTCAGTGGGAACTCTGAAAGCCAGTCACAAGGGAGTCTTCCTGATGGGCAGAGCTTCAAGTAGCATACCTGGTCATCTCCTTTGTAGGAAAGATAACTGGTCTCAGTTTAAAATACATATGGATGGCTGAGCAGTGAGAAATGACATGTGGCTGTAAAGGGACTTGGGGAATAAAACAATATCTGAAGAATGAGTACAAGGGGTAGAGGATGTGACATATGGGGGTGGGCACAAAGTGTGAGCATCTTCATTACCTTATGTTAGTCACCCCAATGCTGTCACAATGGGTACAAAGGCAAAAGGATTATGGTGGCAGGGAAAAAGTCACATATAGGTTTGATAGCATGGACTTCTAGTCACTGAAGTTGATCTCGTGTTTCTGCCACTGCCAAAAGGCCAACCTGCCAGAAACAGAGACCAATACTAACATGCCACAAGCCCTGAAGACCAACCAGGAACCTGATAGCAAGTTGATCACATCAGGTACAGTAACAGAAGCTGTTATACCTTAAGCACAACCAAGTGAAATAAACTAATATACAGGTACTTTGATTAATTCCTATTTACTTTCTTCAGGAGGAAATTGTGACATTCTTTAATAGATATGGCTGTTTGTCTTAATCTGGTTCTTACTATTTAGGTCTTATTTTTTTAGTCACACACTATTTGCCCAGTGTTCAAAACTGGAGAATCTTTTTTCTTGCTTGTGTAATATACTTTGTGTCAAGATTCTTTATGCATTTTTAATTGCCCACTGCTCTTCCTAGGCTTTTTGTGTGTGTGATATTTTAAGGAGGCTACTTCTCTCCAATATTGTGTACAGAATTAATGCTAATTAATGGCCCTTGTCAGTAAGGGTCTAAGTTCTAATTTTTAACATTATTTGTGCAACTGGCTCACTCAGTCGGTTCAGCATCTGACTTTGGCTCAGGTCATGACCTTGCGGTTGAAGAGTTCAGGCCCCGTGTCAGGCTCTGTGCTGACAGCTCAGAGCCTGGAGCCTGCTTCAGATTCTCTCTCTATGCCCCTCCTCCACTCATGCTCTGTCTCAAAAGTAAAACATAAAATAAAAAAAGAAAATTAACATTACTTGTGCAAAATCACTAGTCCATGTAATCATGTAGGTGGGCATAATGTGGTTTCTTTAAGCAAAGGTTTTTGGTTGGAATTTGTGGAAACATGGATGCTACACTGCTTTTCGAGTAGCAGCATTAAACATTCCTTGTAACTAATGCAGGTAGAAGACTAGATTGCCCTTTCATTTGATCTAGTTGTCTTTGTATTTTACCATTCCTTCTCTTCAGTCCCTGACCCACTCTCCATTACATAACAAATGATATAATCACAGCATATGGCTCATGCATTATATTATTGGTCGTAGCACAGACTTCAACACCACCAAGTCTACGGCTGATATTTCAGATAATTTAACCCCATTTAATCTTTTGAGTAACCTACTGTGTAACCACCATTCTTTCAGACCTTATAAGTTGCAATCCCGTGATTTAAGACCCAACAAAATTTAAGATCCACTCCAGTGACGGTTTAGTTTACATTATGCTTAAAAAATCTTTCCATCTCCTTTGGGAGAGGACTGTTATCCTTATATTTCACTCTATATTTCACTAATGAAATAAGAGCATTGGAATGATTAATTGAAAAGTGAAATAAAACTCTTCAGTTTCATATTAACCAAACTACATTTATAGAAATTGATATTTAAAGATATAACATTATTTTAATATATTTAGATAGAATAGTATTAACTACACATCCATCCTAGCACCAGTGTTCTAAAAAAAAAAAAAAAAAAACCTTTATCTGATAGCAGTCGTATTTCCAGAGATAAGGATTCAAGTTCGATGGTTTTATGTTAAAGTTTTATACATAAAATCTTGTTTACTATTCCTTTTTGAAAGTAGGTAGATTTTGTCTTGACATTCTTCAAATTATCTACAAATGATTATAACATTGGATTTAATAACATCTATATATGGCTCCATACATTATTTTAATATACTAATCTATATATGCAAAGTCACTGGCTTTAAAAACCATTTAAAAGATTCTTCTGATATGTAAAATACACCTTTGTTAGAACTGCTTGTTACCTCAGAAAATTTCATTCATTTTAAGTCACAAAATCACACTGTCTTCACTGCTGATGTTTCTAGCTACTCCTAGAAAAAGAGCCACCAACTTTGAATGCTGCACTGTCTGTTGCCCATGGCTAAAGTTAATGAGGGTGCCTTTTTCTCTTCACACCTTTCCACTTCAATGCTCTTGTTATCAAACAATTCAACTTATCATGTTTGCTGGAGTTTGTCTAGATGCTTTTGGCAGAGCCTGTCACTTTTTATCAAGCAAACCAAGTTTTCTATCTACCTTGCTGAGGATCTTTGAAGCTTCCTTCTTAAGATGCCTTGCTACGTTAAAAATTAAGTGTCTTTTTGTGAACAAATCAGGGAACCAAAGGACAGTTAAGTGCTTTGTGAACAAATCAGGGAACCAAAGGATAGTTAAGTGCTTAGGTAAACACAACCCCAAAGGCACCTTGGCCAGATCACCATGCCTTGGTAAAAATTAAGATAAAGTATTCTTAATTCTGTGTGGTTCTACGACCACCACACAGAATTTGAGCATTTCTTAAAACCTGAAATTCTCATTATGAAGGTCTTCGGGGAGGGTGTTTTAAAGTCCGGTGTTCAAAATTTATAGTTCAGAAATAGTGTCAAAATAAAGTTTAACACTTTTAACCATTGGAAGGGTTCAGTTTGAGTCTTTTACTCATTATATACAACTTAGACAAACAGGGCCATTGCAAATTGAAGCGACTATCACTCTAAAGTTTAAGGATCATAGTGCAAGTTTAAATACCTTTCAATTATTTGGAATATTAAGAGAAAAAATACTTCCTACAAATAATTTTCTAAGTTTCATCTAGTTTTTAGATGGCTATCTGTAAGATCTGACACAGATTTATATATACACACACGCATTTGTGAAGAAAATACTATAGTAATTTACAATGATAACACGGTTTGCATAAATGCACTGTAAAGAATATTTTAGTGGGGCACCTGGGTGGCTTAGTCGGTTAAGCGTCCGACTTTCGCTTAGGTCATGATCTCGCAGTTTGTGGGTTCGAGCCCCGCGTCGGGCTCTGTGCTGACTGCCAGCTCAGAGCCTGGAGCCTGTTTCAGTCTGTCACTACCTCTCTCTCTCTGACCCTCCCCTGCTCACGCTGTCTCTCTCTCTCCTGGAAATAAAACATTAAAAAAATTTAAAAAAAAATAAAAAAAATAAAAATAAAAAAGAATATTTTAGTGATCCTATTGACTTAAGGTACTGGTATGACTAATAATGTTGATGAAAAGCTAGTATTTCTCATTGACACTATCCAGAGTCAAAACACACACATCACAACATATAAACTAATATACTGGGAGCCCTATAGGGTTTTAAAAAATTAAGACTGGTAATCAAAGTTAATTTTTAATGACAATATATTCAATATTCATTGGCACCAACTTTTATTGTGAAAATTTATTGTGAAAATGCCTCACTCCTGGAAGAACACACTCAAAGACAAGTGCTTCTACCATTTAAAGACTGAACAGGTGAAATTTTTCGTGTATTTGAATATTTTCTTCTCTAAATTATTGTGTTGCTCAGTGCCCAATCAAAGGCAATCTTCACATATGCTTCAACACTTTTATTTATAGTTCAATACCATCCTTCGTTTTTCATTTCCTGATACCAAATTAGGGGATAATGAGTCATTTTTGGAAGAAAGTCTTTCTAAAGGTGAATAATCAACAATGGGAAAATTATTTATTCCAGTAGCCTGGCTGTTTTTCCCTTATGGCTTCTATTTACCTCTCTAAATAACCTAACTCCTCAGTGCCAACGTACAAGTCCACATAGGTCAAGTATCAAGTAATAATGACTTCCAAAACCCAAATGCAGAAATTAATATGTTTTTCCCTTCTGTATGAAAATCAGGTTTTTAAAAGCAGTATTCTCAGGTTATCATGGGAATCTTATTTTAACAGCCTTTGGAAAGAACTAGACTATCCAAACATATAATGCTACATATTAATATACCCAATATTTCACTTGATGTTTGAAGTTCAGTGACGTAAAATTATTCATAATTCTTAAAACATAGTGTGTAAAAGGAGTCACAAGTTTATTCTACAATTTTTCTATAAAAGGTATCCAATTCTGTAGAAAAATGCAAACATCACCTTTATTGTTAATATTTACACTTGGTTCTGTAAACAAAGTTGGCAAAAAGAAAAAAAACTAAGCATTCTCATACACTTATAAAATTTTCTAGAATATGATCTTCATCACTTCTGAAAGTATTTATTTCAAGTCTAAAAGCCAGTAAATGTAGAAGTTGAAGGGGAAGAGAAAAACACTGACAACAAATTATTTGAATTTTCTTCTTCCCAAATATCTAAAACATCACATATACCACTGTTTTCAGTGTAGCTTGTGAAACCCAAAAATTCTGATTTCTCTTCACTAGTCTGAAACAAGTCTAGTAGAGACTGTACTGGTGAACTACAAATTCTGTTTCCTTCTTGTGTAATATATTCAGTTCTTTTCTTATCTAACTCCACATTTGGTTCCAGATTTTCTTTTTTATTTCTTCCTAACAATATTTTCACTTTCCGATGTATCTTACCAGAAGGTAAACCATCCATATTGTTGAAGTTGCATTCACTGGGTTCCTCAGGGGGACTTCGGGATGGAGTCTGTACCTGAACTGTTAGGTGCTCCTTTGAACTTTTTATTGCTAACAGACCAGAATCATGACCAAGTACTGAATGAAGGTCCTTTTCCTTCACATCCTTTGCTGGAAAAACCACAGTATCTGACTTTTGTTTTCGTTGAGATGCAGTATTATCCACACTGACGTTAGAAACTTGTACAGATGTCTGTAGCCTACATGGACAATGACCTACCTTTAGTTCTTCAAAGCCACTTTCATTTATCATTAATTTATATTAGGAAAAGTCAAGAATACATCCCTGTTTATTTTTATGTGGAGATATATGTGTAAAATTTTGTTTTAGGTCATTTTCAGCTGGATTTAACATGGAACATTTACTAGTTGCTTTCTCGTCGAGTCCTCTCAATTCACTTGCAGGGTAGGAGATGCATTCTGAAATAAATACAAACTTCTGTTCAGGCTCCTGGACTTCTTTATACAGGAAATGCTGCTCAACTGCCTGTACATTATTTTCCTTGAAGTCATTCTGAGAAGTATGTTGCAATTCTAGCTTTTCTTTTGGTTCAGACTTTTTCAGGACACTTGCAGTAATAGGAGAAAGGGATCCAGTACTGTATTTTATTCTTTATTAAAACAAAAAGAAAAAATTAAATTGATATAAAAATTCCTTAAAGTTAGTAAATACCTTTTAAAACTACTTATGAAACTTATTTAACTTAGACAGTATGATAAAAATACTGAGATCTTAACATTTAGACAAATTTACTTTAGATGTCTTTAATAAAACTTTACAGACATAGCTAAAAACTCTACTGTACCTCCTTTTCTCATCCATATTCTTTCCTTTCTTCCCAGAGAGAACCAGTGTATTAAATGTGATGTTTAAAACTACTTTAACCATATAATTCAAAGAGAGATGACAGGAAAGAGATATGGGTCTGCTCCCAATATTGTTCTCATTATCCTGAAAAATATCCTAACTTGTATGCTTTCATTTTCATTAATACTATCTCATTTTATTTAACAATGTAGGGAATGAGTACTGGGACCTAAGGTGGAAACATATTCCCCACTTATTTATATTTAAGTGTAAAATATCTAAGAACATATGGAGCCAGAAACTTGGTATCTTTATACTCTAAAGATGACAAAATAGTAATCCTGAAGTTTCACACATGTATTCAACCTGAAAATCTTTTTCATAGAGTCTCTTAATATCCTTGGTATGCTAGTCTGTATTACACAACCCTACTAAATTATATACAGAGAGAACCTTACCAGCTCACTACTTATGTTTTATGTTCTACATGTCATAGGTAACAGAGAAATATAGAATTCAGCATGCTCTTTCAATCTGACAAGGACCATTTTATGTTTATTTTGTTTATACTTCCAATCAAGAATTCCTCTAGAACAAATGGAGTATTAAAAATATACAATTACCAGTCCAATACTGCTCTCTGTGTACACATAAAAAAATGCAGATAATATAATTAAGGAAAAACCAGCCTATATTTAAGTGCTAGTTCAGAATTTTGCTGTAGTAAATTTTTAGGGAAGTCTGAATTCTTACAGTAGCCCATAGTTTTAGATTTTTTTAAAAAGAGAGAGAGGGCATGAACTGGGGGTTGGGGCTGAAGGACAGAGGGAGGGAGGGAAAGGGGAGAAAGGAGAAGTGGAAAGAGGGAGAGAGAAAGAGAGAATCTTAAGCAGGCTCCACCCTTAGCACAGAGGCCAACACTGGGCTTGATCCCACAACCCTGGGGTCATGACCTGAACAGAAATCAAGAGTCAAGGCTCAACCAATTGAACCATGCAGGCGTTCATACCCACATACTTTTAATAGTTGAAAATATACCTCCTCTCCAAATATTTAATTAAGTCAGTAATAAATAACCATTCTGAATGTTACAGAAATAAATTTAGACTGTTCTAGATATAGTCAAAAGACTTTGCAGCTAATTTTCCAAACCTGTACCTTGTTATCATATTTTCTAATCTTTATGCCTTAAGATTAGACTAAGATTAAGGGCTGACTAACCTAATGGGTTACTATCAGTTTTAGCATGTAAAAGCATATCTTTTTATTTTGGATTTATGGGAATAATCTAAGCAGGATGGTTTAGTCAATGTGCAGTAAACTGCCAATGAACAATACTGTATTTATTCATTCATTTATTCAAAGTTCTGTAAGTACTATTAGTAAATATTACTGGTAAGTAGAATATAAGGAAAAATATTTAGTGAAAGTATAAACACTTAACAGAGGTAAGGGGAAGATGGTTTATTTAAACTCCTTATGATTAACTAAAAATTTTAGCTATTTTAGTCCAAGAAGATGGTAAACTTTATAGCCCCAAGACCAAGGACTGACAAACTGTATATCATATGGACCAAATCTAGTCTACCATTTATGTTTTTCAATAAAACTTTACTGGAATTCAGCCACACCCCTTCATTTACATATTGGATGTGTAAATAGTTGAAATAGGTATCTTATGGTTCACAAAGCCTAAAATATTTACTGTTTGGTTCTTTAAATGTTGGCCAACTCCCCTTCTAGACTGTAACAGTAAGACTTGAAGACCTTAAAAGTAAAGCAAGCACTTTTGGTAGTGAAGAGGGGGTGGTGGGGGGAAAAGAAGTAATTAGTTCTTAATCATTTACACCCTGAAAAGATATATTCTTTCTAAGAACAAAAAACTGATTTTTAGTTTAATGAAACAGCTTAATATTCTGGTAAAATTTAAAACTTAGGTTGATAAATTACCTTTTCTTTTTAGGCATGTCTCTTTCATATTCCACAAAATCAAAAATTAACTTAGATACAATATCATCAACAACTTGATAGTGATTACTCTGTGCAAAGTTTCTATGTTGCTCACTTAGAAGATGCTGAAACAAAAATGCACATAAATCATATAACTATATTCTTAAACCAACAGATACCTTTTTGTTCAAGTTTTGTAATATTTTCATGCCCCTGTAATTAGATTTCTAATAACTACTCCAAAGAATATTAGGTAAAATAAATTTGTGGTTTAAGTGGAACTACAAATGAACTACATCAGAAAATGAAGATAAAGATGGAGAAATACAACAATAACATTTTGTATTTAGAATGTGCTAATACTCTTAAGACAATATTTCCCTTTATTTTGTTTTATTCTTATACAATTGCCACTAAGCAAATATGGTAGAGCTTATAAAATATTAAATGAATGAAATGTTACAGTTTAACATATAAGCATCCAAAAGGCAGATTACAAAAACAAATGAAATAAAATGAATGCTGTAAAGTACAAAAAAGAAAGAATTCATTGAGGAACACATTTGAGAATGACCAAGTAAACAATCTCAGTTACCCAATGATTATAATGGAGAATATGGAAATTATTATTCTCAGTCTTTTCTTCCCTTTTTTAAATGTTTTATTTCTGAGACAGAGAGAGAGAAAGAGAGAGAAGAGACGAGACAGCATGAGCAGGGGAGGGGCAGAGTGAGAGGGAGACACAGAATCTGAAACAGGCTCTAGGTTTTGAGCTAGCTGTCAGCACAGAGCACGATGTGGGGCTTGAGCCCACGAACTGTGAGATCATGACCTGAGCCAAATTCAGACACTTACCGACTGAGCCACCAAGGCGCCCCTCTCCTTTTTTTATTTTTAAACTGAAGTTTAGTTTTACAGTTATTCTCAGTCTTAAGTGTGGTGAAGAACAGTAAACAAGTTTAGTGTACTGGGATAAAAGTCAAAGGAAACAAAGTTTCTAATAGGTGGAATCTCCAGGCTAATTCTATTATTTCTCAGTCAGCTGATAAGGAATTGCACCTAGAAGGCTGTACCAAGATGATCATGTAAGAATCTTATTTCCATTTCTCTAGTTTCATACAACTTTTAATGATTTAATTGTATTTCCAAAAATTAAACTGTCCAGTGTTAATTGTATTTCCAAAAATTAAACTGTCCAGTGATTACAAGAAACAAAAGTATTCTGGACTATTCCTTCCTTAGTTGCAAAATTTCCCACAAAGAAATTATCCATGTCCAGTAATGTTAAACAAATGAGAAATGACTAAAATTTAAACAGAAACATTTAGATTCCATTGGCTCATGTCTTTAGGAGAAAGAAAATTGTAATAAATTATGAAAAGTCTCCCAACTTTTGTGTAGTCGTCCTCTACCTCCACCTACCTCTCCTCATTCAAGTCCTGACTTAAATGTCACTTTCTCAATAGAGCTTTCTAAGCCCCTTATCTAATGTTAAGTACCATCTCATTATTTATTACCACTGCACTGTATACTTCACTTTTTTGATACTATCCTACTTGCAAATGCTTGTTTTATATCAATCTTCTCTGTCATACTCTAAAACACCTGAGGGAAGGGAATAGGTCTGCCTTACTTGTTGCCTAATACCCAGTAATCAAATCTGCTAAACTGATACAGGTGGAACTGAATCCCTGAAATCTGAAATTCAAAAAACAAAATAATACTTTATTTTTAGCAACTAAGAAACAGACACCTAAAAAATAATAAAAATGATTTTAAAATATCAATTCCAGTATCTAGTATTCCCCCTTCTTGTGTCAATCAGTGACTAGGTTTTCATTTTTCAGTCCTAACATTTTCTGAACATTAAATGAGAATCACAAATTGATATTAAGGAAAGCATCCATTACAGATTATTCCATTCTAAAAACAGCAAAGCAAAATTTGAGGACCAATCTATAGTCTAAATTTCAAAATGATTTTTGGGAAGGGGAAATGTTTCTGACAGTTTTAGCTCCTTCTGATTAAAAATAATTTTAGGGGAGTCTGGGTAATTCAGGTTGGTTAAGTGTCTGGCTCTTGATTTTGGCTCAGGTCATAATCTCAAGGTTCATGGGATCAAGACTCACACTGGGCTCTGTGCTGACACAGTGTGAATCCTGTTTGGGATTCTCTCTCTCCTTCTGTGCGTAACCCTACTTTTCTCCCTTATTACATAAACAAAACACAAAATACTAATACAAAATGCTAACATATTTTGGGTTACAAAACAATCGAACTTCAACTTAGACTCTAAAAACAGAAATAGCTTATTTCTTAGATATTTATAAATATTCTTTCTATTTAACTTTTTCACCATCTTCTACCAAACTAAACACCAAAACATACATATCCACTAAAATTAACAACTCAAATAATAACAGCTAAGATTTAATAAACCCAGTTCCCACCTATGTCCAAGGTCACACAAACAGGAAACCAGGATTCAAACCTGGGCAGCATGATTCAAACATAGCTTTTGCTTCCTTTTTTAAAAATCACTTTAAAAACTGTATCTTCATCCCATACCCCTTCCAACCATTCTATTTCTTTTTCTGCTAATTCAAAGAATTCTACTTTCTTCTCATCCTCCCATTAGTTAATCATATACCTATTTCTTTAATTCCTCAGGCCTGAAGCATCTTCTCTTACTCTGAACATACAATCCACTGGTAAATCCCTTTCACCTCACCTTTAAATATATCCACAATCTGACCAAGCCCCATCACTTCCACCAGGTCATCACCACTAGTTAAATGATTTCTTCAATCCCATCAATCAGTTTAATTTAACATTTTTGCATGGCTTATTTCATATCCATGAGTCTTGTTCTCTCACTTCCCAGGTTTCTACTCCAGTATCACTTTATGTAGATTTTCCTTACCTAGTCTAAATAAAGTATCAACACTTCCATTCCTGCTTTAGCACTGATCTAATGTTTTTTCTATTTATTTTCTTAATGTGTAGTTACCTATATCTCCTTCCCTTCCGAAGAATATAATTTCCACAAGGGTAGGGAATTGGTATTTTTTATTTGTTCAATGCTGTTGCTCAAAGTAGTGATTGGTATAACACAGGTACTTAATAAATATTTGTTGAGTTAATGAATAAAAATGATTTTCCAATATTTATTTTCCCACTCTGGGTTCTTAAAATTTAAGATAATTCTATAAAAAAGAAATACATGCTACTTAGTAATTATCAAGTTGTAAACCACAATCAGAAAAATAAGCTAAAATTTAAATAGTAAATTTTCATAGTTTTAGAAATATCAACCTCCTGGGGCGCCTGGGTGGCTTAGTCGTTAAGCGTCCGACTTTCGCTTAGGTCATGATCTCGCGGTTCATGGGTTCGAGCCCCGCGTCAGGCTCTGTGCTGACTGCCAGCTCAGAGCCTGGAGCCTGTTTCAGTCTGTGACTCCCTCTCTCTCTGACCCTCCCCTGCTCACGCTGTCTCTCTCTCTCTCTCCTAGAAATAAATAAAAATATTAAAATTAAAAAAAAAAGAAATATTAAACCCCCAAATATAAAATGACAATTACAGTTTCAAGATCTTCATATTTCTGCAAGCAACATTCACAATATCCTTTTTTCTTCTTCTCTTTCAACTGGAGTTGAAGTGGGATTCCACATTTATTGCCATCTGTTTGGATTCTGATAGAAATATATGGTAAAAGAATTAACTGCTGAACATTAAGAAATAATTTAAAAATGTACAGTCTTCACCTACCAAATAGAATCTGCCATAATCTCCAAAGATTTATATCAACAAATACTTTTAAATATATTTCTTAAGAAATTAAGAAACAAACTAAGAATGTAGTGATTATTCTGGAGAATATTCTCGATTACTTAAGAAAAGTAACACATTTTAATTGTAAATATTTGTAAGCCACTCCTCAACCTCAATCTATTGCTCTAACATGTCTAAATCTGATTTAGAAGAGATTCAGCCTTCTAATCTAGCAAAGAGCCATTAAAAATAGACAAGGGGCAAAACCTCAATAGTGATCAAACAGGCGCACACACACATTACACCCCACCCATGGCATTAAATGAATTATTTTAAATGTTTGCTTAAAAAGAAAAAAAAATTACTTAAAGGTTTAACCAACCTTAGTTTAACCTGCGTTTGCTTTTGGATGCTAGATGGCTTATCTACATCAAATGGACTGGAGGGCTTCTGAATAGAATAATTTATAAAAGGCATATTGGTCAGCTGAAGATAAAATGGTCTATAAAGTCTAAAAAACAAAAAGACAAATACGTGAGCTTCTTTATGATGAGAAAAACCACAACTGAAGTCTCTTTTTTAAATTTTTAAAAATGTTTTTATACATTTCTGAGAGAGAGTGTAGGCAGGAGAGGTCAGAGAGAGAGAGGGAGACACAGAATCTGAAACAGGCTCCAGGCTCTGAGCTAGCTGTCAGCACAAAGCCCAATGCAGGGCTCGAACCCACAAACCACGAGATCATGACCTTAGCCGAAACCGGACGCTTAACCAACTGGGCCACCCAGTCGCCCCACAACTGAAGTCTTATATTTCAAAAACATGGAATTCATCCGGAATTTGAAATAATAGAAATCATTTAGGCTTCCCTTCCCAATTCCTAGACTTAATTCTTTTTTTAAAAACAGAAACATTTTTAAACAAATATACAATGGGACGCCTGGGTGGCTCAGTTGGTTAAGCGTCCAACCTCAGCTCAGGTCTATCACAGTTCATGGGTTCGATCCCCACATTGGGCTCTATACTGACAGCTAGCTCAGAAACTAGAGCCTGTTTCAGACTGTCTCCCTCTCTCTTTGACCCTCCCCTGCTCACGCTGTCTCTCTCTCTCTCAAAAATAAATAAAAAACATTAAAAAAAAAAAAAAGAATATGGTATGATAACACAAAATTTACTATCCTGGCCATTTTTTTTTAAATTTTTTTAATGTTTTATTTATTTCTAGGGGAGAGAGAGAGAGAGAGAGAGACAGCGTGAGCAGGGGAGGGTCAGAGAGAGAGGGAGTCACAGACTCTGAAACAGGCTCCAGGCTCTGAGCTGGCAGTCAGCACAGAGCCCGACGCGGGGCTCGAACCCACGAACCGCGAGATCATGACCTAAGCGAAAGTAGGACGCTTAACGGACTAAGCCACCCAGGAGCCCCTATCCTAGCCATTTTTTTAAAAAAGTAAACTCTATGCCAACATGGGGCTCGAGCTCATGAATGACATCAAAAGTCACATGCTCTACTGAGCCTCTTACCTACTTTTAAGTGTAGACTTCAGCTACATTAAGTACATTTACAGTGTTTTCCAACAATTAACACTATCCATCTGCAGAACCAACTTGAAAAACAGCAACTCTCTACCATTAAACAGTAACTCCTTATCCTCCCTCCCCACCAACCCATCTCATTAAATGCAATCACGCAGTATTTTTTCACTTATTTCACTTAGTGTAATGTCCTCAACGTCCGTCCATGTGTCAAAAATTCATTTAAGGTTGAATAATATCCATTTTACGTATATAATATATCATCCATTCATCTTTTGGACATATGGATTGCTTCTGCTGCTGAGCTACTATGAACAGTGCTGTTATTAATATGGAATGTTCAAGTCTTGCTTTCAATTCCTTTGGATATATATCCAGAAGTGAAACTCCTAGATCATAGCATAGTTCCAATTTTATGAAGAACCTCCATACTGTTTTCCATAGTGGTCACACTATTTTCCAATCCCACCAACAGTGCACAAGGGTTCCAATTCTTCCACATCCTTGCCAATACCTATTATATTGGTTTTGTTTTTAATAACAGCCATTCTAATGGTGTGAGGTGATGGGTATCTCATAGTGGTTTTGACTTGCATTTTTCTGATGATTAGTGATGTTGAACATTTTTCCATGTATTTGTTGCAATTTATGAATCTTTAGAAAAACATCAAGTCCTTTGCCATTTTTTAAATCTGATAGTTTGATTTTCTGTTGACTTCTTTATATTACATTTTTTAAATTAAGTTTTTATTTTAATTCCAGTATAGTTAAAATACAGTATTGTATCAGTTTCAGGTATTTAATATAGAGATTCAACAATTCCCTACATCACCTAGTGCCCCTCCTGTTTGCCCCAGGTATTATAGAAAATATAGATTCTATGTTGGCCTCTCTGCAGGCTGCTGTCTCTTTAAGGGCAGGAACCCAGCTATCACATGCCCTCCCAGCTTACTAGTCTTAAATCAGCTAACTTTTCAATCTCCAGGATCCAAGTCCTGCTGGTCATACAAAATCAAGAAACTCAGCTGTTCTGGTTTCAAAGCCAGACATTATAGGGATTCATCTTCCCCTTGTGGGCTACCTAGTGCATTCACCTCTCCAAGCCAGGGCTTGCAGCTCCCAATCACCATTTCTGCCTTCTTCTCCACATGTGGTTGGTGATCTAGAAGTTTGTTCTGCCAGTCTTGAGATCATTCCCTGGTTTATTTATTCAGATGCAAGTGCTAACTAGTTGTAAACATGTGACAGGTTGAGGAGGGTCCTCCTACTCCACCATCTTCCCAAGCTCCACCACCCCATATTACACTGTATTAGATAAATGATTTAAAAATATCTTCTCTTATTCCATGGTTTGCCTTTTCACTGTTGTGCACAGAAATTTATAGTTTTGATCTAATCCATTTATTTTTTCTTTTGTTGTTTTGTGTTTTTGGTGTCATATCCAAGAAATCATTGCAAAATCCAGTGTCATAAAGCTTTTCCCTTGTTTTCTTCCAAGAGTTTTATAGTTTTAGGTCTCTGATCTATTTTGAGTTAATTTTATGTATGGTATAAATTAATACTCCAACTTCATTCTTCTGCATGTGCATATGTAGTTTTCCCACTACTATTTGCTAAAGACTGTCCTTTCCCCATTGAATGATGTTGGCATCCATTTGACCATACATGTAAAGATTTACTTCTTAGCTCTTTATTCTTTTCCATTGGTTTACACATCCGTCTTTATGTCAGTAACAAGTTGTTCTGATTACTATCGCTTTCAGTAAATTACAAAGTCATGAAGTCTAGATCTTCAACTTTGTTCCTTCTTTCCAGGTTGCTTTGGGTGTTTATGGTCCCTTGCCATTTGGTATGAATTTTAGGATGTATTTCTTGCTTTCTGCAAAAAGTCTTTGGGATTTTGACAGGGAATGCACTGAATCTGTAGATCACTTTAGGCAGTACTGACATTTTAGCAACATGAAGTCTTCTAATCCATGAACTTGGGATATCTTTCCATATACTGGTGCCTTCTCTAGGCCTAACTTTGAATTGCAATATTTTTCTCATAGTAATACATTTCATAAAAAGAAGCACTCAACACATCTTTGTCACCTCAGTGAGTACCCAAAGTTAATCACACAAGTCTAAAGGAGTAACTAGAAGGTTAAGAAAAAACTAGCTAATTCTCATGCCAAATTAATTTACTTGTATAGCCTTCATTAAGATTATCCTTTGAAACTTCAGAATGTGTTAAAAAAAACAAAACTACTTAATTAAATGTTATAATCAGATTTTGTACTTCCAAATAGTACCTTCCAAATTTCTTTTTCACAAAGCAGAAGCAATTTTAAACAGTAATTCTCAACCATATGGTACTCCATTTAGCTAGTGAATTATTTGAAGTACTAAAAAATGAGCTGGTCTCATGACTGCTCTAAACTAGATCTTTCAAGGATTTATCATCTACAACATCCTGAAACTGAATTAAGCTGAAAACTGCTTTGCTAATTTGTGCCATCTGCCTATTAGTATAATATAAATCTTAACATAAAGAGACCTAATAGTATTAGTGGAGATAACTTAATTAATTAGATTTTCTTTTAATATTAGTTATTGAACTTAGATACTTACTGGCTCATATCTTCCACCTTTACAAAAGGTTTTTTAAGTCTACCTGCTTGAGAACAAACAAAACATTATTATTAGATACATACAAATCCAGGAAATTAAAAGAATTACTCTGGCTAAAAATCCCACCCAACAATGTATAGATCTTCCTCAATTTACAATTATGGATATACCTCAATAAACCCATTTTAAGTTGAAAATATTTTAAGGTGAAAATGCATTTAATATACCTAACCTATCAAACATCATAGCTTAGACCTAGCTTAACTTAAAACATGCTCAGAACACTTACATTAGCTTATAGTTGGGCAAAATCATCTAACCCAAAGCCCATTTTATAATAAAATGCCGAATATCTGATGTAATTTATTGAAAACTGTACTGAAAGTAAAAAACAGAATGGTTTTAAGTATACTAGTTGTTTACCCTTATGGCCACGTAAATGAATAGGAGCTGTAGCTCCCTGCTACTGTCCAATATCATGAGTACTGTATGGCATGTTGCCAGGCCAGGAAAAGATCAATATTCAAAATGTGAAGTACGGTGTCTACTGAATGTGTATTATTTTTGCAACACTGTAAAGCTGAAAAACTATAAGCCAAACCATCTTAAGTTCAGGACTATCTATACCCATTATCCATTTCATTTCAATTCAGTTTTAAGCCTCAGCTGAGATATTTTACAATACCAGCCCATTTGCAAAATAACAGAAGTTCTGTCTATATTCTGAGATTCCTAAACTGAAGGGATTCCCCAAAGGATCTATGAATAGAATTCAGGAGAATAATGAGCTAAAACAGGAAAAAAGGTTCAACTTTTATTTTCACTGATCTCTAACCAAAATTTAATTTTTCCTCCAGTTATGCATATAAGGAACAGAATCACAGTGGTATTAGCACTGCCTGTAATTCTGATACTAGAGACAAAAATACCTTCATATTACTTATTATAAATACCCCAAAGCATCATACCAAATTTCAAAATTACAATAGCAATTAGAATCACTGCTAGAACTCATTGTTAATGTGTTAAAAAAAATCAAGTATATCATCACTTCATAATTAAAAATATTCTGACAACTGAACCTCATTTACTTTCTCAGTAATCCAGTAATTTTTCAAATGCTTTTTAAAAACATTATTCTGAGAAGGGGTCTTTAAGTTTCACCAGACTACCACTACCACAGGTGTCCATATTCTAAAACAGGCTAAGGCCTACTGAACGAGTTCCTTGAAGGGCTGTTTACATGCTTTTTCAGAGGAGTTTTATATGATTTGTTCTACTTTCTAAAAGCAAATCAAACACACTTAAAGATATCAAAATACTTACTTCTTGCTTTCTGTGTGCTAATACCTACTCTTTTCCCCTAAAAAGAAGAAAAAAGAAAAAAAAGGTAAAAACACTGGGTTTGAAAGTACCATGACAACGGCAACTGCAATGGCTCTTTTTATCCTGAAGATAATCATACAGGAAAATACTATATAAAAGAAGGGTGATTACTGTTGTTTTGGAGGGGAGAAGGGAAAAACTTGCTTTTAGATATCAACTCAACCAAAGACATGAAAAAATGAACATAACAGAAGCTCACTTTTATAATACACCCCAAAAATACCTTGCATTCTAGCTATACTGTTTTTGTCTTCAAAGAAAGAAATCAACCAATGAGGAAAGTGTACAGTTAATGAAATAATCTAAAAATAGTCCTAAGTTATTTTATGCCCCCTTACTCAGCAAAAACATTTGTGATAGACCGAACAATAGAATTATTGAAATATTATAGTCTGTCAATTCATGTTAGGGTGGGGTCTGTTCAATATGGTTAATCCATCCTATGACTACAACTAAAACTCTGGACAAAAATACAATAAGCAACTATAGGAGAACAGAAAAGTAAATAAAAGCAGACAAAGTGTAGAAAGAATCCAAAACTCAGGCCACCTTTAGGGGAGTATGCTTCCCATCCTTCCCTTTATTCTCACAATGTTGCCTGAAGGATGAACCTCTTAATCACAGAGTTGGCAGCAATTAGTGGAGCCAGTGGCTAAAACTCCTATATAAACCACATATTTCCTGTAATCCAGAGTACAAAAGGGAATCCATGGACTATTTCTTCCTTTTCTCCCAAAGTTCTACCTCAGTGTGGACCCATTATTAAATTGCAGGTGTAGGTGCCAAAGGCAGCTAAAATTGAGAAATCCTGACTTTCTGAACAGAGAAACTATGGAAAGGGCCATTGTGGACTGAAGAGTGAAGGGTAAACTGCAGAAAGTAGCAAGATGGAAAAGGGGACCCCTAGTTCCCTATATAAATCCAAAATAAGTTAACTTCAGGGTTAAAACAGGCTTAACTTCAAGGCTTTGAAAAAAGAACTTGTTTAAACACTACCCAAGCCTTTGACAAAAGTATAAGTGATAAATGTGCAGAACAAAGAGCTGCATACAAATCTTTGAAATTTGAAAAATGAAACTGAGACTGGAAGTGCCATGTACAGAAATTGAGACATAAACTGATAGTTTGAACCAAATTAGATGAATGTGTGCTGAAACACACACAAAAAGACCCACAATCACGACAGCAACAAAACAGCATTCTCCAGAGTACTGTAATAGTTCTGGAGCCTCTAAAACATAACATTTGCAATATTTAATATAAATCAAAAATTATTTGACATATTAAGAATCAGTAAAAACATGACCAATTCTTGAGGGAAAAAGACAATCAGATGCTAATACAAGATGTTCCTGAAGTCAAAATTATCAGAGAAAGACTCTAAGGGAAAATACAGTTAAAATCAATGAGAAAATACAAGTTCTCTGTGGAAAAATTATATTAAAAAAAAGGAAATTGTAAAAGTGAAAAATACCTGACTTGAAATACAGAATTAACTGGATGGGCTTAAAAAACACCGATGACCAACTTAAGTGTTAGAGAACTCAAAGACAAGAATAAAAATCTTTACTTAGAAGAACAGAGAAAAAAAGGAGAAAAAATTAACAGTGTCAGGGACCCAATAAGCACCTTGTTTGTATTCTAGCTATAAGTAACATAAAAAGGTCTAAAATTAGTGTATTAGTGTAATGGAGATATAGAAAAAGAAGAAACAGAATGGGGAGGAAAAATAATTGGAACAAAATAGCTCAAACTTTCTACATTATAAGTTTATAGATTTAAGAAGCTTAGTGAACAACAGAATCATCTCAAATAAACCATGCTGAGGCATATTACACAGTGTTGAAAACCAAAGATAAATTAAGAATCTTAGAAGCACATAGAGAAAAAATGATCATTATATATAAGAAAACAATTCGAATGACTAGATTTTTTTTAATCAAAATTCATGGAAGCAAAATAGTTGTAGAACACCTGTAAAAGTTCTAAAACAAAGAATTTTTATTTATTTTTTTAAGTTTACTTATTTTGAGAGACTGTGTACACAGTGCATATAAGCAGGGGAAGGGCAGAGAGATAATCCCAAGCAGGCTCCACACTGTCAGTGCAGAGCTGATGTGGGACTTGATCTCACAAGCTGAAATGTGTGACCTGAGCTGAGACCAAGAGTAGGATGCTTAACCAAGTGAGCCACGCAGGTGCCCCTGAAATTAAAAAAAAAAAAAAAAAAAAAAAAAAAAAAAAAAAAAAAAAAAAAAAAAAAAAAAAAAAAAAAAAAAAAATTTAATTCATTTTTCTTTATCCAGTGAAAAGATCTTGCAGGAATGAAGGCAAAATAAAGACATCCTCACATTCTCTTCTATATGACTTTTTGGAGCAAAAAGGGATAATACTGTCCAGTGGGTTTTTCAATAAATGCAAATTTAACCAAAATGTACCATAAAAATTGGTTTAGGGAGATAAATGGGTTCAAAAAGTCTTAAGTCTTCTACGTTTTATTTGAAGGATAAAATAATTCTAAACAGGCTGTAAAAAGTTACATACGTATAGTTTAAATCCCAAGAAACAACTAAAACAAAACAAAAAAAAACGGATATAACCAAAAAAACCAAGAGATAAATCTTCCAACAATCTGAAAGGCAGCAGAAAATAGAGAAACAGAAATAAAATACAAAGAACACCGAGAGAAAAACATTAGTATATTGGTAGGCCTAAATTAAACAATACTGGTAATTATTAAGTATAAATCGTTAAAAATATACCAATTAAAAGATAGAGATTGGCAGATTTAATAAAAAGTTAAGTTCCAAATATCTATAAGAAACCCATTTAAAAAACAAACACACAGATATGTTAAATGTAGAAGGAATAAAAAAGATATAGGATGCAAACACTAATCAAAAGAAGTTGGGGGTGCCTGGTTAGCTCAGTTAAGTGTCCAATTTCAGCTCAGGTCATGATCTTGCAGCTCAAGCTCCACATCAAGCTCTGTGCTAACAGCTCAGAGGCTGCCTGCTTCTGATTCTGTCTCCTCCTTGCTCTGTCCCATCCCATGCTCACAAACTGTCTCCCTCTCTCAAAAAACTAAATTAAAAAAAATTTAGTAAAAAAAACAAAAGGAAGCTAGAGTGCCTATAGTGTTTTAGACAGAGAAACATTACATAATAACAAGGTTAATTACTAATAGGGATAGAAGAACATATGATAACAAGGTTAATTCACAAAGAAAACACAAGAATATTATATGTGTATATATCTAAGAAGGGTCAAACTACATAAGTCAAAAACCATGATAGAAATGGAAGGAAAAAATACACAAATTCACAGTATATTTGGCAACTTCAATACTCCCCTTACTTTCAGTAATGGCTGAATAAGAAAATCAATATGGATACAGAAAACCTATACAATTTGACCTATTTGACATCTATAGAACATTCTACCTATTGGGGCACCCTGGGTGTATCATTTGGTTAAGCACTGACTCTTGGTTATGGCTCAGGTCATGATCTCACAGTTTGTAGGTTTGAGCCCCATATTGGGCTCTATGCTGGCAGCACAGACACTGTTTGGGATTCTGTCTCCTCTCTCTTGTGTTCCCTCTACTCGACCCTCCCAAAATAAATGAACTTAAAAAAAAAAACCATTCCATCTATTAATTGCAGAATATACACTTTTAAGTGCACATGGAACTTGCATTAAGACAGACTAGATTCTGGATAGTGATGCAAACCTTGACAAACTTGAAAGAACTGAAATCATACAAACTACTTTCTGATTGTAATAGAATTAAAACAGAAATCAGTGACAGTTCATTCACTGATAGTAGAGTACAAAATGGCAGAGTCATTTTGGAAGATAGTCTAGCAGCCTCTTACCAAACTAAACATACTCTTACCATATAACCTGGCAATTGTGCTCCTTGGTATTTATCCAAAAGAGTTGAAAACTAAGGCCCAAACAAAAACCTACACATGGCAACCAAGATGTTTTTCAGAAGGTAAATGAGTAAACTGTTGCAAATCCAGGCAATGGAATCATTCAGCAATTAAAAAAACAAAGAAAAAAAAAGCTACAGTCATGAAAAGACATGGAGAGAAACTTTAAATGCCTATCACTAACTGAAAAGGCTACATATTATGTGATACCAAATAGGACATTGTGGAAAAGGCCAAACTATGGAAAAAGATCAATAGTTGAGAGGAGGGTGAGAAGAATAGATTGGAGCATTTTTAGAGAACTAATCTGTATGATACTGTGATGGAAGATACATGTCTACTCATTTGTGCAAACCTAGAGAATGTACAACATCAAGAGTGGACTCTAATGTAAACTATAGACTTGAAGTGATGATGACTTGTCAATAAAGATTCATCAATTTATAACCAATGTACCACTGTGGTGTAGGATGTTGATAGTGGGGGAGGCTGTGTGTATCATGAGAGGCATGGGGTATCTGGGAATATCTGTGCCTTCACTCAATTTTGTTATGACCCTATAGCTGCTCTAAAACAGTATGTGTATATATATTATATACATAAATATTAAATGCATTACATACGTAATATATATTATATACACACACATATATTACACACACACACACGTATAAAGCTCTACATAAATTGTGTGGGATTGCAGTAAAGCAGAGCTCAAATAAAATTTACAGCCAAGCTGGTTCTTTCCTAAGATTAATAAATAATAAAGTTGATAAAACTATATCCTTACTGATAAAAAGTAATAATGATCTCAGGAATGAAAGACGAAACCTCATTCAGACTCCACAGACATTAAATCTTAATTAGGGAATATTACAAATACTTTTGCCATCAATTTTACAGCTTAAACAGGAAGTACAAATTCCCTGAAAAACACAAACTACCAAAATACACTCAATAAGAAATAAATAACCTGAATTTCTTTTATCTAATAAAGAATTGAATTCATAGTTGGGGATTTTCAACAAGGAAAATTCCAGACCCAGATAACCTTACTGGTAAATTATACCAAACATTTAAATAAAACTGACTCTACAAAAACTCATCTAGAAAATATAAGTGGAAATACATCCCAGCATTTTAGAACAGAATTACCCTGATGCTAAAACCTAAAGATATCAAAAAAAAAGAAGATCAATATTCCTCATGTGTATTTTTTATATGTACATGTACATGTACACACACACACACACACACACCTCCCAAAATTTCAAGTAAACCAAGAAAAGAAAAAAACTCCAAGCACTTTAAATAGTGGAAGATAAAAAAAAAAAAAAAAAAAATAGTGGAAGACAATACATTCATTCAACTTTAGTACTTGGCAAGCCAGAAATTTTCCAGAAACATTTTCTTCTTATATACAAAAAAAATTCTTACATACAAAAAAGAAAAACAAAAAACCAAAACAACAACAATAAAAAATCCCTGACAAGTCTACATCCTGGACTACAGAAAAATTTGGTATTCTTATCCTTTTTGTTTTGAGAGAAAATTAAGATTAGTTTCACAGCTATTTTATCACACTTGCATGGTTTTTGTTTCATGAGGACAACAACTCCCAGTGCCTGGCACTCAGGACTGAGGATCTGCTGAATATTGACAGTTGCAAGTGTAAACAAAGCAGGTTTTAATATCAACTTAGAGTTATGACTAGTATTTTTTACAAATGAAAATACTATTGAAACACTGGAATCAATCACATTAAGGATAAGCACTATTTCAGGAAACATGTTTCAGATATGTACTTAAATCCACTGCATATCGACAGAAATTATGTTTCTGTATTCAGAGACCATAATGTCCTTGTGAGTTTACATTTTCATAAGTTTATTTCTATAAAATATATAGAATTGTATACATTCAGTATATATAATCCAAACACTCTGCAAATTGCAGTAAAGGTAGCTTAAGGCTATTTAGCCTATTTCAATTAAGATATATTCACCCATCATTTTATAAAAACTTGTAAATAGCCATTTGGAGGTTTGTTTTTATTACTCATAATAAGATATTCAAAGTATTAAGTATTAATTAAACTATTTTTTGCTTTCTGCAAATTGTTCCTATCTTATATAACTGTAAATTTACTAAAAATAAAAAATTCATTAAGACTTTAAGTATCTTTGCATGTAACATGCATATATGGGATACTCATGATGTAAAAATTATTGAAAACTGTTAAGAATCACTGTCTCAATGTCACTATTACCAGCAAACATGCTTTACTAGCAACCAGATCTTTCATATCTATTCAACCAGGTTACTCTTCTTTTAATAATCTCCCAATAATTTTACAAACCTTCCAAATAAACTCTAACTCCTTTATATAATGTGCAAGGTCCTATCTGAACTTGGTAACTTTTCCTCCTTCATTTCTTATCATTCTTCCCCTCAAAAAGCAAGTTGCATTATATTTCAGAAAATTTCCCAAACAGAACAGCCTATATATGTCTACATATCTTTATATATATATACTCTTATGTAAAATTTTGCTTTTAGATTTTAATCATTTAAGGATTGAGTGAAAAAAATGCAGACCACAAAAGAATACACTGATATGAAAGAACCTTGAGAAAACTAAGAGATGAGAGAAATTCAGAAGAAAATAGGTAAATTAAAAAGCAGATGAACAATAGCTGACAGAACCAATATGACTGGTTTTAAAAAGTGTTAACTCCTGAGGCACCTCGATGGCTCAGTCAGTTAAGCGTACAACTTCAGCTCAGGTCATGATCTCACAGCTTGTGGGTTTGGGTCCCATGTCAAGGCTCTGTGCTAACAGCTCTGTGTGTGTCTCTCTCTTTCAAAAATAAATAAATATTAAAAAAAAAGTATTAATTCTATTTGGCAAATCGGTCAGGAGTTTTATACTTCATAGGCTGAAGAGTAAAAGTGGAAAAAATAGGAAGTATAAAAGTGTAGATATGAGAAGTTTAGATGATACAAAGATTGGATAGTTGGTAGGGAGGATAGAGATCAAGAGAGGTTTTATTATACTTATTTTAAAGGATGGAAAAACCCTCATTTGTTAAGAGGCTCTAAGGAGGAAGCTAGTTTTTGAAAAAGGAAGAGACAAGATATGGAAACATTAGGTCTAACACTGTAATGCCTAACGCATTTAATTAGCAAATATTGTGAGGTTAGGCCAGAAAGCCAGAGCGCATAATAAGATTTTGTCATAAAGCTATCTAGAGCAGTTGAAAAGTAAGCACATTTTCTATGTTCCCCAAAGAAATAAATTATATATATTAGAAACTTCTCCTGCAATAAGCTAATTATGTTTTCCTTCAGAATGAACAGAAGTATCTAGTAAAAAGCAACAGCAACCTAAAATAAATACAACTATGCCAGCCTCCTAGGAATAACTTTTATCTCAAGAGTGAATTGTAACGTTAAATGATATGCAATAATTTATTCAAATAACAGAAAGATGGATACAGTACAAAGGTTTACCTTTGCTGGCAAGTAATATTTTCTACTTGGCAAGAAAAATTTATAGATAAATAAAAACCAACCTTGATCACTGTAAATAGTTTAAAAATTAAGGAAAATTAACATACCACATCTCTTATAGAAGTGCTTGATTTCTTGAGTAAATATAATTCTTTTTTCTTTTGTTCAATGTAGTATCTAATGTCTTCATTAAAAAAAAAAGTTTAAGATTAGCATTTTTATCTTTGGAGTTAAGCACTGCTGTTTTCTTAGTACTAGATTTAGGTGAAAGAATTACCATTATAGGGATCTCTTGCTATCAGAATTCTCCCTATGTAAAATTAGGAACCAAGGGTACAAATTAATACTTTTAACATATACTGTCAAAAAAACTGATAAAATCCTTACCATCAATATGAAGAATTTTTACTCCCCATGATAAGGCATTTGATAATATACTATTTGAAGGAATAAAATCCTGTAAAATAAAAAAGGTTTGATAGTTTTTCTAGAAAGTTACTAACTTAAATGAGCTAAATTTTAAAAATTATTTGAGGGTTAATGTCACTGAGGTGGGTATTAGACCGTACAGTTACAAAGGCAATGAGTACATCAGTTTTTCTTTTGGAATTTCTAAAATCAACCCTGTTTAATATATTCCCAAATACCTGATAATCAATCTAAGTGTAGCCTTCCAATTAACAGTTTCAAGAAATTTCATAAATTTCATCAAAAAAGCCATATGCTTCATACGTCTGCAGTAATATTTTAAAAGGCCACAAGATGGAGATGTTTCTTCATGAAAAGCAGATTTTGTTTTTATTTAGGCTTTTCCTACTAAAAATAAGGAAGATTTGGGGAACACTCCATTCCCACTTGAATTTTTAATAATAGAACATATATTGTAGAATTTTAAATTTCATACTTACATGGTCCTTGATAGCTTTTTCAACTAATAATTTTCCTCTGCTCAAACACACCTGTAAAAAGACCAGAGAGCAAATGTTAAACATTAGAACATAGTGCCTCACTGGAAAAAAACTTAAAAACTAGCTAAAATAAATGGATAAAATTTAAAATTTTCAATAATATTAAAAATAAATGAAAGCTATCTATACAAGTCTTAAATACTATCAACACAAGAAATGTATGGCAAAAGTGATTTCCTTAGTCTTGGGAATAGGATCTATTAAACTTTGCTTCTTTTTTTTTGATACAGCAACTAAACAACTGAATTAGACCAAAGGTTAGTTTTGTAGTAAATTCTATTAAACATTAAAAACAGCTAGATTCTTTTGAAATGGTCTATAATTAAAAACTAAGTTCAGATTTGAATTCCCTATTCAAATGAATCTAAGAATATGAACTGTATGTATTATTTTTACATGGTATTTCACATTTTTAAACAAAATGCTGGGAATGTAACTGAAATGCTATGAGCAACAGTTAATTTGGAACCAGTCACTAGTATATAATCTCATTCCTTCAAAAAAGCATTAAAGTGAAAAAAATGCAGGAGACTTCCTGGACTTTTTCTTCTATGTATTCCCGTTTTTCCTCCTTCCCCAATTTATACTTCACTGTATCTTCAAACTTATTGTCAATAGAGTAATAAAGGTAACTAAGTAACTAAAACAGGGACTGGCAAACTTTTTCTGTGACGGGCCAAATAATACGTGTTTTAGGCTCTACAGGCCATATAGTATCTTTATAGCAGGGAAGTCAATTTGTAAACAAACAGGTCTGGCTGTATAAACAAACTTTATAAACAATGACATCTGAATTTAAATTTCTCACAAATTATTCTTTAGATTTTTACATTTGAAGATGTAAAAACCATGCGTAGCTCACAGGCTGTAAAAAACAACTGACACGCTGGGCTTGGCCCACAGAATCTTTGTTTGCTTACTAATGCTGTGAAGCAAACAAAAGGTTTCCATTTCTTCTTTAAATAATGATCTGCTGTTACTTTTTAAACTACTCTTAAAAATAAGAGCCATTCCCAAATGCAAAGTATTATTTTAGACACACATGACTGCGTAAGTATCAGCAGAAAAATCACTGCTCTATAAGACAACAACCTAACTGGGGTGCCTGGGTGGCACAGTCGGTTAGGTGACGGACTTCAGTTCACGTCACGATCTCACAGTTCCTGGGTTTGAGCCCCACATCGGGACTCCGTGCAGACAGCTCAGAGCCTGGAGCCTGCTTTGAATTCTGTATCTCCCTCTTTCTCTCCCCCACTAGACCGCTCTATCTCTCTCTCTCAAATAAACATGAAAACTTTTTTTAAATGACTGGAAAGCCATTCACAATATAGATATCGTTCTACCTAAGTAAACTCTGCTGCCAGTCTCCTCTTGAAAATCATGAGATCCTCAGGCTACGGCCTTTCTGAACATCTTAAAGCACATTTAAGAGACTTACTGAATCTGGAGACTTAAAAGAGCTTCCATCATGGCTGGGATGAGGTGAAGTGGGTTCTGCAGTATATGCAGATTCTGGACTTGGTACAGGAGAAATTCTTCCCAACGTTTGTGCAAATTTAGCTTCCTTTTTATTTGAAATAAGGTAACTGATATCTTTGCTGAGAAATTCTTCAACTCGCTAAAGGAAAACAAAGTATTTTCAAATAAGCCATATAAACCAGTTTCATATTTTTAGCATAAAATGCAAATTTGATGCATTTTAATTAGGGGCACCTGTTGCCTCAGTCAGTTAAGGGTCCGACTTCAGCTCAGGTCATGATCTCATGACTCCTGGGTTCAAGCCCCACGTCAGGCTCTGTGCTGACAGCTCCCTCTCTCTGCCTCTCCCCTGCTCACACTGTCTCTCTCTCTCAAAAATAAATTAAATTAAAATATTATTATTTTTTAAAATTTGTAGATGGGTGTTTTTCATAAGGTGTTCTTCTGAATCTGAGTTCTGAGGAAGTACAATAGGAGTTCCAATAAGAATAAGCATGTGCTAGATACTATTTTTAAGTATTTTATATATCCCAATTAATTTAATTCATAACAACTCCATGGTCTTAATATTCTAATATCCACATTTTATGAAAAAAACTGAAGAGAAGTTAAGTGACTTGCTGAAGGTTACACTACCAGTAAAGAGCAGAACTTGAACATACATATTGTTACTCAAGTCCTTCCTCTAAAGCACTACAGTCCAGTAGAACTTAATGCAATAATGAAAATGTTCTTTACGAGCACATTGTCAAATATAGTAGCCAACTTGTCACATATAGCTGAGTACTTAAAATGTAACAAATGTAACTAATATGACCAAGCAACAGAATTTTAAATTTTACTTAATACAGTATTAACTTAAATTTAAATAGCCTCATGTGCCAGATGAGAGTACAGCTAGGGTTTTATCATACTGGAGAGTACAGCTCAAAATCAGTATACCATCTTTCCATATATGAGGGGACTCTTACCCTCCAAGTCTAAGGACGAAGACAATTTCCCTACTAAAAAGTTTTGAAAACCAGTGCTTAAATGTCTGAATTTATAAATGCAGGTACCAGATGTCAGTGTTATCAAAGATCAAAAAATTAAAGTAGACATAAATACTATTAATCATTAACTAGTTCCATAAATGAAAAATTTCTAAAATATTTTAAACAGCTATATCTAATTTCTATAGGATCCCACAACATAAATGGGAATAATAATAAAAAAAGCAAAATATGTTATATGAATTAATTCCATGTAAGCAATAATCAGAATTTGCTGCTTACACCAGTGGCTAAATGTATATCACTATTTCCTTTTTTTTCTAAGCAACATTTTCACTGACTAGTAAAGGAGATAATCCAAATTTATTAATTCCAGGGATTATAAACTCAAATACCTACAAGGACCAAGAGGAATATAAATGCACAATTTACACATCAAATGCTTTCTTCATTTTCATAAATACGTGGCTTCAGTGCTGCCAGAGTTCTAATTTTTCAAAAGCCCCATCGCCTATATGTTTTTTAAAAATTGTGATAAAGTATATGTAAAATTGACTATTTTTAAGTACACAATTCAGTGGCATTAATTATATTTACACCACTATGCTCCCATTATCACTATACATTTCTAGAACTTTTTCATCATCCTAAGCTGAAATTCTGAATCCACTAAACAGTAACTCCCCATTTTCTTCTCTTCCAAGCCCCTTTTAACCTGTGTTCTACTTTGTTTCTATGGATTTAACCATTGTAGATTCTGCATACAGAATGGAATCATATACTTGTCCTTTTGTATCTGAGTTATTTTGCTTAGGACAGTGTTTTCAAGGTTTATTCATACTGTAGCATAGATAAGAACTTCACTTCTTTTCAATGTTAAGTAATATTTTGTGGCATGTATACACATTTTCTTCATTCATCAATCTGTTGATGAAAATTTGGGTTGTTTCCACCTTTTGTCTTTTGTGAATAATTCCACTATTAACTTATCTCTTCAAGGCCCTCCTCTCAAATCTTGTTTTCCATAGCAGTTGTACCATTTTATAATGCCACCAACAGTGCACAAGGGTTCCAAATCCTTGCCAACTTATTTTTTTTTTTGATAGGGATCATCCTAATGGATGTGACATGGCATCTCCTTGTGATTTTGATTTGTATCTCCTTAATGATTGGTAAAGCATCTTTTCATGTGCTTGTTAGCCACTGTACATCTTCTTTACAGAAATGTCTATTTTAGTCCTTGACTTATCTTTTAATTTGGTTGTTTTTCATTGCTGAGCTATAGGAGCTCTTTATATATTCTGGATTAATCCCTTATCAGATATATGATCTGCAAATATTTTTTCTTCCCATTTTGTGGGCTGTCTTTTTGCCCTCTTGATAGTATCCTTTTGTGCACAAACCTTTTTGTTTTTAGAAGTTCAATTTATCTATTTTTTCATTTATTCTCTGTGCTTTCGGATTCATATCCAAGGAATCAATCCTAAATCCAATGTCATGAAGACTTTTCCCTATACTTTAAGAGTTTTAGCTCTTATGTTTACATCTTGAACCATTTGTAATTAATTTTAGCATATAACATGCATATAACTTTATTCTTTTTAAGTTTATTTATTATGAGAGTGAAAGCAGGGGAGGGGCAAAGAAAGAGAGAGAGAGAGAATCCCAAACAGGTTTCAGGCTGTTAGTGCAGAGCCTGACGCAGGGCTCAAACTCATGAAACGTGACATCATGACCTGAGCTGAAACCAAGAGTCGGACACTTAACCGACTGGGCAACCCAGGCACCCTGTAGATATATTTTAAATACTCTTTCCTGGGGGTGCCTGGGTAGCTCAGTGGGTTAAATGTCTAACTTTGGCTTAGGTCATGATCTCATGCTTTGGGAATTGAAGCCTGTGCTGACAGCTCGAAGCCTGAAGCCTGCTTTAGATTCTCCATCTGCCCCTCTAAAGAGTTAACTAAACTTAAAAAAAAAATTTCAAATATGTTCTTTCCTCTTTTTAGTTTGTTTTTAGCCTGGTATATTCCTACTAGACTTTCGAGACTTAAGTTAAACTCTGTGCTATGATTCCTGAAGGCAAAGTTAATAATTTTCTTCTCTGTATTCTAATGGGAGTTTCAACATAATTTCTGTTAAGTACTGACAATGCTATACTGTAAATGATTGTGTCTGTAAATGAACTGTCTCATGTTCCCAAGACTAAGAGCAGTAAAGTACATCTTACGTATTTTTGCATCCTCAGCAGCTAAAATAGTGTTGGCATATGAAGGATACCAGTGAAATAATTTTTTAATGAATTTGCACATGCTCAAATCATAATTCTTCAAAGCAGAGTTAAAACTGGGTCTGTAGAACAGCTTCCAAAATTTCTCCACTGGAAGTAATTTCTCCCTCCTGTTGACGTTATATGTTGTTTTACAATTAATTGTACCCACGCAATCTCTACCCAGATCAGAAGCTAAAGGCAGGATGGACTTAAGATTCATTTTTGAATCTACCAAAATACTTAATACCATGTCCTCTAGAGTTTATTTAGTTTCATCATAATCTTCAAGTTATTATCTGTTGCTGAATTTAGGTCTTTTAGAGTAAATGCAAAACTTATTTTTGAGTCACTGAAGGTTACAATGAACATCAGACAAGGAACTCTGTCCTCAAAGTTCATGAAATGGCATTTGCCCTTACATCTCTGTTCTTCTCCAACTGCCTTATTTTGGCCTAAAATGTTTAAATATGGACCTAAACGTGATTGGTTCCATGTCCTTTTTAGATGGTTTTACTACAGCTATATTCCTTGCCACTACTAAAAGATATGTCAGACTTCACTGCTGTGCTTTCAGTGGTTGAATGTCTCAGAAGTGTACTCTCTAGATAAATGGGGTATGTTTTCATTAAGGGCAGAAAAAAATTCATCAAATGGACAAGTACAGAAAAAGACACTGGTAATAATCTGAAGATGAAGTTTCAAAATGAAAAGGGTCTAAGTAATCCTAAAATTTACATCAAGTATCATCCTTTCAAGGAATGTCTGTTCAACTAAATATTCATTAACACTGAACCCTAAAACTCTGTCTAGAGGTCAAGATTCTTTTATAATTCATGTAAAAGACCACCATTACCAAAGTCCTTTTTTAATGAGAGATGGTAAAGTGTTAAGAACAGAAATCAGGACATCACTAAATTATTGGAAAGAGAGTGTGGAGGAGATATCATAACTTGATAAAAAAAATTTTTTTTTAAGTTAATAAATCTAATTCTGTTGAAAATCCACAGCCTGAAGAAAAAAACCTGGAAACTTATGCTCTTAATATGATCTTCATTTCAACTGGTCTACTTCAAACTATTTTAGAAAAAAATTTGAATTGTATAAAACCAAAAGGTCTTCCAACTATTATCAATACATAAATTAATTCAAAATTTGTTTCCTTCTTGCAAGTGCCTCAGGAACTGCAATAGGAATGAGAGAAAAAGGGGGCAGGGCAAGCATCCCTACACTAACTATAAGTGCTGTTTCAGACAGAACAGTTTTCTTTTGACTGGCTTTATACATTGGACTGCTTAATGATTTTGCTCGAAGGGTTCCACTGCTAAAAATACAAATCTAAAATCACCAATTTAGATCATAAAAGTTAATGAGTTATTCATATTTGAGAAAGCTGTGAAACTAGACCAGAAAGCTAGTTTGTAGCCATTAATTCCTAGAGGAACACAACAGTATAGCAGCATGTTAGTCTGGGAATTAGGAAGATGCTATACTGAGCCAGTCATTTCACTTCTCTGGATCCTTAAGTACTTAATATCGAAAATGAAGGAGTCTTGGGGTGGCTCAGTCAGTTAAGCATCCGACTTCAGCTCAGGTCATGATCTCACAGTTCATGGGTTTGAGCCCCATGTCGGGCTCTGTGCTGACAGCTAGCTCAGAGCCTGGAGCCTGCTTCGGATTCTGTATCTCCCTCTCTCTTACCCTCCCTTGCTCACGCTGTCTCTCTCTTTCAGAAATAAATAAAACATTAAAAAATAATAAAATAAAATAAAATGAAGGAGTAAAAGTGGCAAGCCTATAAAACATGATCTTTAGGAATGAAGTCATAGGGTCATTATGACACGTTATTGCTACGACAAATGTGACCAAGTTTTAACAAATGAGTAACAAAAAGTAGAACAGCTTTTCAAAGATATATAAGTAAATATCACACCAATAAACAATTCCAAGAAACTTGTTACACATTCTCCAGCAAACTTCTGTTCTCGAAATGCCAGGATTCTTTTAGCTTATTCAAAGATATTAACCTCAAAAAACTCAAAGTGCGGTACAAACCTTTTTTTAAATAGGATGAATTAAGAAGGAAGTTAATAAATTCTTAACCTCACTTGCTAAAATTTACCCAGTGTTAACCTTAATACTAAGAAAATCTTAGAATTTTCCTCAAATTTTCTAATTTCTTAATCATTTAGTCCAAGTATAAGATGGGAAATAGAGTTTTCAAAATTGTTAATCCAAAATTCTGTTCTCTTAATGACATTCATTCTTTTCAAACTGTTACCACTTAGAGTTAATTTTAACTTGTGATTTGTAGAGGTTTTTCTTGTTCTGTATGACATTCTTACTGTTATGCTAGTCCAGGCAGATTTCTGTAGCTCCCTAATCACAATCAAGGAGTTGCTGCTCTCTAGAGCATATACCAACATAGCAATGAGAGTGCAATCAGAGGTCCTACCAGGCCAAGGGAGTCACATTTCTCAAACTTTGTGAACTTTACACTAGACTAATCACAGAAACCTAAAAGTTCTATTAGGCTACAATAGGTTAAAACAAATAGTTTTTCATTAATGATAAACAGCTCATAAAAATTTTAAGCTTGGTGCTTCTATGACTGTTTCCCAAAATGAGTATCTTCAATGACTACAGATTAACAAGTACTAGTCACAAATTTTTCCTTTGTCATAGTGTATAGTTTTGACTTACCCCTCCCAGATCCTGAATGTCCTTTTGCAGTTTTTCAGATATGGTGACAGAAGGTAAGTCAATGTAAAATATTTTTCCCCCTAGTGGCTTATATTTGGATTTTTCAGGTTTGTTATCAGTTTTCATAGATTTTAAAGATGATCTGTTTTTTTCATTTTTGACTTGGATTCCACCTGTTGTTTAAAAAATGTACAATTAGATGTTTTATACAGATGAAAATTTTCTATTGTTTTAAAAATATTTCTTATACATCATCATATAACAGAGGGGGAAAAAACTTTAAAACCCCACCAATTAAATACTCAATAGCACTTTTTAAAAATTGTTTTTAATATTTATTCATTTTTGACAGAGAGAGAGAGAGAGAGCCAGAGCACAAGCAGAGGAGGGGAAGAGAGAGAGGGAGACACAGAATGAGAAGCAGACTCTAGGCTCTGAGCTGTCAGCAGAGTCCAATAGGGGGCTCAAACCCACCAACTGGGAGACGGTGACCTGATCCAGATCCCAAGTCCGGCTTTAACCAACTTGAGCTAGATCATTTTAATGTATTTCTTTGTAGTACCACCTAATATAAAACCAAAATACTGTACTTATTTTAACAGATATTGTACAATAATTATTGTTCACAGCCAATAGTTGAGTCTTCAAGAAATGTTTATACGTTTGTTCATGTCTTTATAGATTCTGGTGAAAACTATATAAAACCCTTTTGGAAGATTTTCCTCCTTAGGATGGAAACTTCACGAGCTATTTACTCACAAATATTTATGGAACATCTGCCATCCTGTTGAACACTCAAAATTGGGGCATAAAATGCTTAACACTTTCCTGTACAAGAAACCTGTTACCCATGATGACCTAGTCCTCCAGAGAGTCTAAAGTTTAGTTGCCTATAGTTTGTCTATATATTAAGAACTGAATGGTCCATTTTAAGAACCAAATCACCATTCGCTTTTATTATTTCCCTTGAAAACATCTGAGATGGAAACAATCGCTTCAAAAACTACCTTTCAGAATACAATCTATTCCTAAGTTGAAGATTCCTATCCAGGTACTACATATATATACCAGACATATTAAAAAGAAAACCTTGGGAAGCTGTAATGTACCTACCATTCAAAGTAATCGAAAATGAACACTTGTTTCTGTCTATAATGCTGAAAACAGCAAAGGTGTGTTTGAAAAAAATATTATCCCCCTCAACTTTATGAGTGGAAAAAAAAAAATTTAAGAGGACCAAAAACCCACCCACAACCACCAATTTAATCAGGAAACTTAAAAGCCACAACCACCTTTGCTTTCAAGTAGGGGACACAGCGGCAGCCTCAAAGGGCCTGAGCCGAGTCTCAGCATCGGTCCGAGGGCCACACATTGTTTCCTAGTTTTACAATCAACGGCACAACCGACAATCCGGGGCTGCGGCTGGAGCGTGAACGGCGCGAGCGGCCCGCTTGGGCTCCGCTCCCTTTCTGAGGCGAAGCCCTTGGACGGAGCCTTCCTTCAGGCCACAGACTAGGGCGCACAAGCCATCAAAGAAAAGAAGCAGAGACCCAGGGGAAGAGCTCAAAAGAATCAAAGGTGGAACCACGAGGAGAGGAAAGGATTAAAGGGACTGCAGGGGGGGGGGAGGGGCTTCCTACCCTGAAAATGTCCTTTGCTGTGGATCCTCATGGCTCCCGAGTTCATGGCAGCCGCCCGGCACCTACATGCTGGGTTCGAGAGAGTGTCGCGCCGGGCGGCCACGAAAACACAAGCTCATCCAGGCCGATTTTTCCCGCAGGTCGCCTCTCCCCTTCCGCAGGCTACCCCACCCACGCAGCAGAGATGCCGCGTCTACGGTCCGGGTTTCCGGGGCCGGATCCGGCTCCGAGGCGCGGAGGAGGAAGAGGTAAAGCACAAACGAGTGGGCTGCGGCGGTTGAAGATTTGAAAACGCGTCACGCGGCCGCGGCGCCCCTACGCGCGCCCCGCCCGCCCTCACGCCGCGCGCCGGGCCCCGCCTCGCGCTCGCCCCCCACGTGCCCGCCTCCCCGCTCCGCGAGCCCCGCCCCCACGGGCCGCGTCTCCGCCCCTCGCCCCTCCTCCATAGCTGTGCCTTCCAGGCCTCCGGTCACCGCCTTCCGCTGGTGGTTTTGGGTCCCACCAATACCTTGGAGAGTCCTTGTGGCTCCTTGTTGACCTAACGTAGTGAATGCAGTTAGCCCAGGAAGCTAGCCCAGCCCACCGCCAGGGTCATTCCCGCCTACTAGGGCTGCCGGGACCGCTTTGCCCTCCAGCTTCCTCCTTCACCAGGTACGCTCCTTGGCCAGGGGTCCGTCGTCCCGGAGGCCGGAGGCGCGGTGGCTGCGGCCGAACTAGCACTCACTCTCCCGCCAGGCCGGCCTGGTTGGCAGCCGGCAGCCTCTGCGCGGCGCCCCCCGAGCTGCGGAGCGAGGCTTCCCTGCGGTCCCCGCCGACCCAGCTGGCCGGAGAGCGGCCAGGCAGCAGCGGGACTTCCAGGGCGGGAGCGGCCTGTGGGGGGCGGGGGGCCTTCCGAGCGAGGGTCGGGCCCGGCGGCCCAGAGCCTAGAGCGAGTTCACGTCACCGTGTGCCTTTTGGTTACTTGACTGTGTGCTGCTCCCTTTGATACCTGCTTTCGTTTTATTGTAAAGTTTATTTCAACAGTAATAGAAAATGGACTTTGAAATCTGAAGTTTTAGGATTTGGGGTCTGGACCGGCCACTTAGCGTGTACCTTTTGGTTAAATTCCCTAATCCCTTTGAGTCCCAGTTTTTTCACTTGTAAGTTGGGGATAATGGAATGACAATAATGGTTATATTAAAATATTTTGTAAAGTTAAATAATTTTGTAAGTGGGAAAGCGCTTCACAAAAAATTGTTTTCGGTTTTTCTCTGCTTGTAAACTTGTGAAGGAGGAAGAGGATTAGATCTTGTAGTATTGTGCACTCATTAACTTCTGGCCTTAATAGTCATTCATTGTATAATGGTTGATTTTCGAACGAGTAGAGGTCCGGGAGTTGAGTGCCAATATCACCGTTTCACAAGTAGCTACCTTAAAGCGTAGTATTGTAATAACCCTTAACCAAAATGGAGAACCCAAAGAGGTGCTTCAGGTTTGCTAAGGGAAATGAGACCTTAGTTGCGGATGGCTTTAGGTTGAAGGACCTGGGGAGAGAATCGTGAAACTATATTACCAATTAGTAATACTTATTTGTAACGTAGGAGAGAGATGGGAGGTGTGGGAGAGACTGGTAGTGAAGAAAGAGATTGGTTTGAGAGACCTAGACACCCTCAGCCACGGGGTGATGCATAAGAGGTTAACAGATCTTGGGAGCCAGATGGAGGTGTAGTTTCGGCAGACGATACAATTTTAGAATTTCTGTTTGAGGGAAACAACCTATTTCCAAAATGTAAACCACAGAAAGAGCACAGGATTTTTATGTTTGCTAAAAGCTTTAGGATTGAGAAACATGAATATAAGATGTAGTTAAAGTCATATGAGTAGATGACATTACCCAGGAGGGCATGTTGAAATAAGAGAAGCAGTGATAAGCAGACCAGTGATGAAATAGTGAGAAAGATGGAGAAAAGGTCATAGAGGTGGGAAGAGAACTGGGAACAAACTTATCAGAAGTCAGAGAATTACAAACATCGGGCTCATGCAGGCTTCACTGTCTGGCTTTGGGTAGTTTTGAGCCTTAATTTTAATCTTTAAGAAGGCTGTAATTAATGCTTCTGAGATATTATGAGGATGAAATGAAACATTTTTCAAAGTTTAATTAGTACCACAGAGAGCTCAGTAAGTGCTATATCATTCTGGTGAACTCTACACCAGCTCCTCCATCTTCAAGAGTTCCCAAGACTTGAAAAATAGGCCTGTCAGCTGTTTCGGATTCTGTGTCATCCTCTCTCTCTGCCCCTCTCCCACTCATGCTCTGTTTCTGTCTCAATAATAAAAAAAAAACATAAAAAGAAGAAAAGAAAAATAGATCTGTCAGATTACTAAGGTTCAGTACTAGATAAGAACAATGGTCTTGAAATGCAGACAGGTTGAGTGTACTCTTGAAAGCTCGTTGTATGTTCTGGTGAAAACTGAGTTACCTTATTTACTATAATGAGGGAAACTAACATAATTGTACCATATGGTTTTAGACATACCCTTTACTGCTTTATAGGTGATGATGACAAGCTATAAATAAGCAGAAAGTGTGTTTTACAGGTGTTAATAATTTTCTAGTCTGTAATTCAAGGTTAATTAAAAAATATTTTTGGAACTCAAATCTTTTAATTGCTACAGGAAAGACTTGGTCATGTGTCTGTGCTCTGTATACACAGAAACTCCCTTACCTATCATGCCAATAATCAGGCTATTGATAAGATGATAAAGTTTATGTTAAACTGTATCTTAGAATATGCTTCAGGTGAAGGGTATACATTCAAGAAGAACTGAATTGGGAAGGGGCAAGGTTATTTGAGAAGTTTGTTTAAAGAGTTTTTTTAAGCAAAGTTGGAGAACATTGAGCAGAATCATGGTCTAATTAAATAAACATTTGGCTGTGAATCAGGAGAAATGAATTTCATTCAGTATTGGTTCTATTCCTAAGAAGTTGTGTTACCTTAGGCAATTTCCTTATTTGTAAATGAAGACTGTATCTGTTCAATCTACCCTACAACGTTTGGTGATTATTAAATAAGGCCCAATCTTTTTCAGACTACCTCCCACATATCCAGATTTAATTTTTTAATTCTACAGCCTAGGCAAATGAATGGATTTGTTCATTCTTCTGTAATAGTCATCACTTTCCTATTTTCTTTCTTTTGCTTAAGACTCCACCTCTTCTTCTTCCTTATTCATACCAAGCCTAGCTTAGATTGAGCCTTTATCTCCTGCTCATTTGAGGCCTTCAGTAATATCCCTATTTGATTCATAGGTTAACTGCTGATATATTATCTTTTGAAATGTATTCTCTTGCTATATTTTAAATACAATTTTCACATTTTATAGTTTCAATATCCTGGTGAATTAGAGGCCATAGGGATCTTTGAAGGCTAATTTTTTAGTTTCATAGGCTAAGTATGAAAAGATATGTGTGGCACTGAAGTTCATGCCTCAGGTGAGGGTGGGCTGGAAAACCAGGGGAAGGAAATTAAGTGTATCAAGTCCTTGAACACAACTTCCGTGAAGGGTGAAAAATGGAGAATAAGCAAGACAGGAGGATTCAGAATTTGAAGGTGGATTCCCTTGAGACTATAATTCAGAGGCTGCTATGACATCTATAGGAGGATAATGAGCTGGTTCAGAAGTGATATATCATTTTCTAAACTAGACTGTAAATCCCTTAAAGGTAATACAGAATACATACATACTATTTGGCCATGACTATGAAATATTCTACCTGTTTATCTCATTTCTTTCTTTATGTATTGATTGAGCACCTACACTGTGCTATGCTCATTGGGAATGGTTTACATAAGACCCCAAAGAAGTCTCATGATGTAAATTTTTAAATTTTCTAGTACAATAGTCCCTTAGCTACAGTTTCAGTTATCCTTGATGAACCATGGTCCAGAAGCAGATGATCTTCCTTCTGACCTGTTGTCAGAGGGTCCGTGGTAGCCTAACACTACTTCATTCACCTCACTTCATCAGATCATGCAGACATTTTGTCATCTCACATAATCACAAGAAGAAGGATGAGTGTAGTATAATAAGATCTTTTGAGAAATCACATAATGCTTATTACAGTATATTGTTATAATTATTCTAGTTTTAGTTACTGTTAATTTTTCAATATGCCCAATTTATAAATTATCATAGGTGTGTATGTATAGGAAAAAAACATTGAGGAAAAAACAACGTATATAGAAAAAATACATTGAGTTTGTTACTACATGGGACTTCAGGCATCTACTGGATATCTTTTTTTTTTTTTTTTAATTTTTTTTTCTTATGTCTTTATTTTATTTTGAGAGAGAGAGACAGAGTGTGAGCAGGGTAGGGGCAGAGAGAGAGAGGGAGACACAGAATCTGAAGCAGGCTCCAGGCTCTGAGCTGTCAGCACAGAGCCAGACCAGGGGCTCAAACCCACGGATTGTGAGATCATGACCTGAGTCGAAGTCGGATGCTTAACCAACTGAGCCATCCATGCATTCCCTGGCAGATAAGGGGAGACTTCTGTATTTGTGACAATCCACATACAATAAAATGCATCCATTTTAAGCATACAGAATGAATTCTAGTAAATATATATATATTTTTGTCATTTATACTAAAATCAAGGTATAGAGCATTTTTGTCTTAGAAGGTTATTTCATTCTTCATTCTATTTTTCCCGTCCCATCGGAGGTAACCAGTTTTTTTATTTCTATTAACATAGTTTTTCCTGGGGCGCCTGGGTGGCTCAATCTGTTGGGCGTCCGACTTCAGCTCAGATCATGGTCTCGCGGCTCATGGGTTCGAGCCCCACGTCAGACTCTGTGCTGACCACCAGCTCAGAGCCTGGAGCCTGTTTTGGATTCTGTGTCTCTCTCCCTCTTTCTCTGACCCTCCTCTACTTGTGCTGTGTCTCTCAGAAATAAATAAAAAACAAAAAATTTTTTAAAAATAACAGTTTTTCCTATATTTCAACCTAATATAAGTGAAATCATATAATTTTTATGTTGTAACTCTGAATTATTTTGCATAACATAAACCTTGTGTGATTCATCCATGTTGCTGTATGTAACAGTAGTTCATTCCTTTTTATGACTGAGTAGTATATAGTGAATACTATGAATGTAGTGAATGTAGTGTACCTGTTGATTTACATTTGGATGGTTTCTTCTCACTTCTGTTACGTATAATGCTGATATGAACATTTGTATACAGGTCCTTTTGTGGACATACGTCTTTATTTTTCTTTGACTTGCT